CCAGTTATTTTATGGAAAAGGAATACTCCCATTTAACATATATTTATGCTTTTAAAAGATAAAGTGACAAAAGTATATCGAGAAAGCACACTAAACAGTCACACTCATATCTAACTTCCACTTCCTACAACAGTTGCTCAAAGAATCCTTATGGAAGATCAGTGACACAGCCTGGACCATTCAGCTGAGTCGAGATTTCAACCAGCAAATGGATAGTTACAGCAACACCTCCATTGAGAAGGTTGGTTTTTCAGCTAAGACAGGACCTTAGCTTTTACTGTGTGATCCAAAATGGCTGCTCAAGCTTCATCTTGTCTGTACTGCAACCAAAAGGAGGGAGGAATAGTTAGGAAAAGAAGTTCCCTCTTTTTAAGACCATTTGCTGAAAGTTGAATACTACCTTCTCTTCACTTCACATTTGACCAAAACTTATTCAGATGGCCACACCTGTCTGCAAGGAAGACTGGGAGGAATAATGCCTATAAGATACATATGTGTCTGACAAAACTCAGGGATTCTCTTCAGAGGAGGAAGAAGAATGGATACTGCAGGGCAAATAGCAGTCTCTGCCACGGCACTGGTTTAATGTCAGCTATGCCTCAGTTTCCATTATGCCAGTCTTGTAAGGCTAGCTATAAGAAACAATCTACTGCAATTTAACAAAAGCTTAGAGCTGAAAAGAATGCTCAAAAGCCAGTTCTTCCATTCCTGTCTCCAAACAGCCTCTCCCTACCCCTCCACCTTGTAGCCATCCATTCTAAATGGGGTTTGAATACATTTCCTGCTGCTTGTTACGAATGTAGCCTTAGTTCAGTTATCTAACCTTTCTGGATCCTCACTATACTCATCAATAAAATAGACACCATACCCACCTGTGAGGGCTTTAGTATTATGAAGGTTCAATGAGATAAAGTATACCAAGTCCCCAATGAAGTGCCTAGCATAAGGTATGTACTCAACATAAAAATAGCTTTGATCATGGTCTTTATTATGTTAATATCATTCATAAATTTATTTTCCTGGGAAAAATATTTAACCCTTGTCAGTTCCAATATTAAGTATTTCTTCCCACAAATTATTCATTATCAATCTTCATCTCTCCTATGTATTTTAAAATTCCACTCACTGATTGACTCCCTAATGTGACACAGAGTGCTGATTCTCCAAATTGGCCTACCAACCCTACCAACACAGCAAGAAGACTTGGTGAGCAAGTCTTATCACATGAACTAGCCCTGTGCACCTCATGTCATACCATTCATCCAATAGCTTCCAGACCCACAAGATTATTCCAGGATAATGGTGGTATGGGTAGGCAGAGCAATTTGAGCAATAAGCTTCCTGATTGGCTCTCAACCCTAACACTGAACGGGAGTAAAGTAAGAGCGCCCTAATTAGCTTTTGCTGCATGACAAACTACCCCAAGTGGCTTAAAATAACAACCACCTCTTTAGCTCACAATTTTGGAGTTTCACAGTTTGGGCTGGCCTTACCTGGGCAGTCACCTGATCTCAACTAGGCTCGCAGGGTATATGGAGGTTGGCTGGTGTACAACAGTCTTAACTAGGACAGCTTATTTCTATTCTTTGTGGTCTCTCATCTTCCAGCAGCCTAGCCCAGACTTCTCAACTTGGTAGCTGCAAAGTATATAAGGTCTCTTGAGGTATAGGCTCAGAACTAGCCCACTATCACTTTTGCCACATTCTATTGGCCAAAGCAAGTCACAAGGCCAGCACAGGTCAAAGACTGGGAAAATAAGCGCCTTTCCTGATGGAAGAAGCTACAATGTCCCATAGAAAGGAGACATGGATGGAGGGAGGATAGAAAAGTTGTGACTGTTTTTGCACTGCTCACTTGGGTTCCTGATTTCTTGGATTCTGTACAAGTCACAAATCAGGAACACACAATACATTGAACCCAAATCAGCAGGGAAGCAGCAGTTCAGGAGGCCTGGAAGGCATTAAGACTAACCTTTTACACCTAAGTCGGATTTTCCCCTTTATGACATCAATTTTTTTCTGCAGCATAAGACTTTTCCAGATTCTTTCCAAGGTCGAGTTAAATGGACCCTAGCAGCTTTGCCCCAAATTCATATTTACTTCTGCGTTGTACACAATTTTCCTCACTATAATTCCCTTATCATAGAGAATTTTTGCCTGGACAACTGAGAGTGGAGCGGATGCGGCCTAGCCAGAGTCTTGCTCTGGTTAGGCGGCTGTCGCTCTGGCAGTCGAGGTCACAGCAGCTGCTCCACCTGTTTTACCATCTCATGGCCCCCTCTCATCCCAAGTCAGACTGGTCTGCGGAAGTTCCTCTGGATGTAATAATTTAACTCCATATGTTTCTACTAGCCTTTCCTTTCTCCCTACTCTACAGATTCCTCTCTGATCAATAATGGCCAATCAGTAGCTACAATCCTGTGAGCCATGCAGGGTCCTCGAAGCAGACCACCAATTAGTCAGTTTCCTCTCCTGCATGTGACAAGATAGGGATTCTAAATAAAGAGATGCCAATTTGATATTATATAGCTATAAATGATTTGAATCTCAGAAAACAAATTAAAGCCATCTTCAAAATTAGCCTATTTTCAGGGAGCATGTTTATTCAATGAGCATTTGTTAAGCAAATATTAGCTACAAGGAACTGTACAGTGGAAATAACGCATAAGACCTTCTGCTGCCAAAAACCCAAATTCTGAGCATAGAGACAAACAAGAAAATCTAAAAATTACAAAAGCGAGTGAAGGTATGTTAATGGCAGGGCACAAGTTATAGAAGAGGACAGGTCGAGGGCAGATCCTAGGGGAGGGAAACACTTTCAAGAAGAGATAATAGTTGAGGTGCATGGCTATTCTGCAGTTGTTAAGTTATCCCAACTTCTTTCCTTCAGATGACTGTTTTAACCCTTTCACTTTTCATCAAAGTCTTGCTTTCCAACCTTTAAAATCCTCTCGCTTGTCTTTTGTTTTCCAGAAATTCCTTTGGAAAGCCTTGGGAACCACCTTAACATCCTGCCAAGATACAAACTTTGTAAGCTCACAGATTAAGGAGTTTCTGACTGCTCCCCACCAACTGGGAGATCAAAGACAGGTGGGACCCCTTTCTCTCAATTTCCTATTACGATGATGACAAATCTATCCTACCCATAAAACCTCTGAGAGCTCGTATGATAATATTGTACTTAACCAGAATTATCCATGAATACATTCAGAATAGTCCAACAAAATTTTTCAGAGACATGAGAGTTCCCTATTTAAATATCAATACTTCATTTTTAACCAAGTTTGTGAAAACATTTTAAAATGAATTTTAATCATTCTCACTTTGATAAACTTTTATCTTGGCTTTATAACTTAGAGCATGATTGTGAATATCAAAATCATTTAATTTAAAAGCTGAAAACAACCTCATAGACCATTGGTTTTTGATCTAGAGAGAATATAAGTACAACCTGCAGAGCTTTTGCAAAGCATTTATTTTCTATCTTAGCCTAGGCTGGAGAGCATATATAAATGTGGAGTAGTGAGAGGATGTGTATCCAAAAAACAAACAAACAAACAAAAAAACCAACAACAACAACAAAACAAACCTCCCCAGGCTAATAAAGCCCACCAGTATAAAAATATTGTTTTGTGTTTTATTATATACTCTCCTCAGAAATTCTGAGATATTTAGGGTTCTTTCTCCTACATTAAATGGCCAGAGACCAGTAGACTTTACTGAAATCTCCTTTTATATTACTATTATTTTTTTCCTTGACAGATATTGTTAAAATTTCTTGCTTTTGGCACTATTTCTAACTATTTCCATTTTAGTTCTGCTATAGGCTAGGCAAAAAAAAAGGTTGATTTTAGATATAAGCATATAACAAGGCTCTCATTCAAGGTCTGAGGGTTTCAAAAGTTTTAAAAGACAAACTGTGACATCCATCTGAGTTTTTCAAATACCTTTTTTACTTAACTTTAAGTTCTTGGGTGTGTGCCACACACTCTGAATGAGTAAAGTTTTAATACATGACTTTCTTGATCTCACTGAACCTAATTGGCTTTCAGTCTTTTAAACATGACTCTCAATCACATAATGTCAAGATCTCCAATTCTGGCTCAGACTAGCTGGATTAAAATCCTGGGTCCACAAGACTGGTCTAGTCTATGATTTTCATGGTAGCTCTAGCAAGGTTATGCAACCAAATATAACAGTATTCATGAACAAATTACCATGAAGGTTCTGTGGTGAAATCAGCCTTAGACAAGAGAGGTGGGGAGGGGAGAATATGGGCAGGGGGGTTATAAGCTTAGAGTGTGAAACAAGAGCTATCAGCTTTCGAAAATTTAATCACTTAATATACAATAAAGTTTCAGCAACAGAATGATCCTTTAAAAATATCAGTTAACTCGAGCTCAAAAAATCATTCATTGGCTTTCCACCAATCTTAGATTAAAAGTCCAAAATCTTCAGGATGGCCTAAAAGGCAATATTAGAACCCACCCCTACCTCCTGTCTGACGTCAGTTTTCCCTGCTTTCCTCCCTGATTGCTCACTCAGCCTTTCAGTAAACCTCAGGGCCTTTGCACATACTTTTTCTCTGGCTGGAACTCTCCTTTCCAGAAAGTCCAATGGCTCACTCCCTCACACATTTCAGTCAATATCAACTTACTCATGTGGCCATCCTATTTAAATTGCAAACTTCCCCCAAACATAGCCAGCTATTTCCTTTTCTTGTTTTACTTATCTCTATAGCACTTGTCACCATCTGGAATACCATATATTTACATGCTTACTAAATTTCTGTCTACCCTTATTTCACTTCCTTGTTGCTTCCCTGTCAGTCCTCCTGGTTGTATACTCCACAAGAAGGGGGAGTCAGGTATATTCTGCTCCCTACTGTATCCTCAGGACCTAAAGAATGCCTGGCACATAGTAGGTGCTCGATAAATATTTGTTGACTAAATGAATGGTTAAACTCAAAATCTCATGCCTTTTCTGATTTTAGGGAATAACAGCTATTTTAGGACATTGTGCCGAGAACCACTTGGATATTGTTTTAAAAGTTCTTAAAACATTCCAAAATCAGGAAAAGTTTTTCATGAATCGATGTAAGGTAAAAAGAATAATCTTCTTGAAAGCTCTAAGTCATTGCAAGGGCAAATGAAACTGATTTCTTCAGTGACTACTCTTTCTCCATATTATACTTACTCCTGTCCCCAGGTCCTGTTCCGGGTCAGAACTGTCCAAGCCCAGGCTCTGTAGGATGATCAGCTATGTAACAAGTCTACTCCATTTTCTCTGTCACTAATGCTGATCTGGAAGGTCCTAATCAGCGCCACGTGTGCCTAGGTCTGTCCCTCTACCAACTGCTCAGCCTCACCAGCAGCTTCCATTATGTATGCTCGGCTTCCCCTGAAGGAGAGGGATCTGACAAGTAAACAGTTACCAAAGCCTCTCACAGCCGCCACCTCTATGAAGGCCTGATAGGCCCACGACACAGTCCTGGCTGTTTACATTTAGACAAGCAAGACTGTATCAATTTTAGATTCATTTTAATCATCCCAGTCCAGTCTCTCAATCTCAGTAGTGGTCCATGGGATTAGAAAAAAGCATGAGAGGAAAGAAAACTCCTTAGGTCACGTTTTTCATGTCTCCCTTTCCTGGTCTTCAGAGCCTTTTTTCTGGGAAAAAGAGCCTGACCAAGACAGACATCATGGTGATCTACGGAGCCGTGGCCCTCCATGCTCCCAAGCAGCAACTTCTCGCCAGGCTTGACCAAGACGTCGTATCCCAAGTCCTGTTGCTTTACAGCCAATGCTCTCAGGTAATGCCCATAGCAGGGCTGCCTCCGTTTCCAGGCTGGGCTTCCCGAATCTTACAGGGGCCCACCTCATGGGAATCTTTAGGCTCAAAGGATATAGGCCAAAGGAAAGTTAGTATCTGGTATGTTTGGGAGATGAGAACATATGGGAACAGAAAAATTTATTATGAAATACAGTCAGGTGATTTGTTTCTTTCCCAAGGCCTTGGGCAGTCCGCGTCCTACCACTCCTGTGATGCTTTCCCAGATCAATTGTTTCCATAGTGATCTCACCCTTGTTTGAACTTAAAACAATTACTCCTGTACTACTTTAAGGCAACTGGCTTATTACTTCCTTATAATAGTCTCAGAAATGTTACTTAATGTGGAAATATTTATAAACCACCTAAATGGAAAGTGCCATATATGCATTTTTAAGTGAATAAAATATGTCCTTTGTCAAGTTATTCAAGTCACTTTACCTATTTTCCCTTCCACATTCATTCCAGCCGCCCTGACCCTCCCTGATGCTCCTCAAACACACCTAGAGTATTCCAGCCTTGGAGCCTCCGAACTAAGTTGGAACTGCTCTGGTCATTTCTGTCTTCCATAGCACTTTCTTTGTATCTTCAGTAAACTGCTTTATCCATATTGTCAATTCATCCATTTTGCTGACAAGTACCAGGTTGGCCACCTAAGAATCACTTAGGGATCAAGTTTAAAATATAGCTTGCCAGAGTCACTTTCCAGAGAAGTTGATTTTCTAGTAGTTCTTGGGAAAATGCTGGAAATCTCTATGCTTTTAAGTTCATGAATGATTCTTATTTATAGACAGGCGTGGGGAGCTTCCACTGACTATGTGCACATCTGCTTCTCCCATTACGTTATCAGCACCTTGATGTTAGGGACTGTGCCAGATGCTCCTTTATCTCCTCTCCTGTGTCTCCACAAACCACACGTCTGGTACATAAGTGCTCTTGACATTTATTCGTATGTGTATGTGCTGAAAATGGGCTCATGGGGAGCTCATCAGTAGGTGCTAGTGGGAGAGTGTAGGGCAGTGATCCCCACACCTTAGTTGCATGAGAATCGCCTGCAAAGCCTGTTAAAAATAGAGATGCCCAATGAATCACAGTGTTCAGGGATGGATCATTGACGGAACACGCTCCTCAGGAGCTGATTCCGATGCCCCCAAATCTGATAAGCAATGCCGAGAATCGAAAACATAATAAAAGATGTTTCATGTTACATTAATTTTTAGTCAATCATTGAGGAAAATAAAAGAGGAAGGGAAATAAAGATGATTCAGACAAATATTGCTATGCATTTCAGGGTACAGTCAATTCTTCTGTAACACTACATATGCACAAGATAATACAGGAAAAACACAGAGATTATGGGGGAAATAGGGTCGGGCACAACTTTCGAAAACCTCCATTAGTGACATACTTTTTACAAAAAGATGAGAACCTAATCTTTTTTAAAAAATTAAAAATACAGAAATACTACCCAAAAGGGGGCACTTTACCTTGAAACACTTGAGGTCAGTTGTGAAAGTTGTGAGTTATTACGAAATGGTGGAAGAAAGGAAGATTATCTTAAATTCCACGGATACCTGCAACACCAGATTTGGACAGGAGTGGCTCATAACAGAGTCAACTGGGGCAGCTAGTAGATGCTTGGGGCATGCTTTGGGTATTCCCACAGGGCTCAGTTCAACTGTGCACCGTCAGTCTCAGACGAAAGGCACCTAAGCAAATGCAAACTTGGTACGTGCTAAAAGTATTCCCTGATACAGTGTATCAATCTCCTTGGAACAACTTTGCATTTCCAAGGCGAGCATTATAGCAGAACTGACTGTACTCTCAGTTCCAGAGTCAGCCGCTCTATGACTTCGTATTATAACTTTCCACTGCTCCTTTCCCCAAGAGCCCTTACCTTTTTTCCTTACCAAAGTGTGTGGAACCTCTTAAAACTGATTGTGAAGCCTGAAAACCCAAAGGCTTGAAGTCTCTATCTTGCCTCCTGAAGCTTATTCAGCACTCACCTGAGGGAAAGAATCTGCCAAGGTGCAAGGTTTAACTTTAAAAATGGGGGAGGAAGTGAACAGCTCCTTTCCCCTTAGCAAAGACCACCCCACCCACCACCTGAGGCAAGATTCCAATACTGTTTCATTATTGTTGATGGGTGTGTGGGGGGTGGGAGTAGTGGGGGTCCTTCTGTTGGGCTGAGTTGTCTCTGACTGCTGCTCACTGAGTATCTGCTTTTGTCTTTGACTTTTCAGATTCTGGGCGTGTCTGTGATGAACAAGGTATGAGATAGACAGACAGAAATATCATGCTTCCTTGAAGTGTGCCAAACATAAATAAATATTCTCTTGATTTGATTCCAGTGGAAAGGATCCCAGTATATAACTAATTAATCCAATTCCAAAGCCAGGACTCATGATCCTGATCTAGGGCAGAACAAGTAGCTGTGTTCTAGTTCCAGGTAGTTTAAAAGGTGAGCTATAAACTAAAGCAATGTTTTTCAGACTTTGAATTGTGACCCACTGGTTGAACAGGAAATCAATTTAAGAGGTCACAACCAGCATATTTTTTTAATGAAATACTATGAAAGAGAAAATAGAAGGGTGCATTGCATATAGCAATTGTAAGTATTATTAAACTTTATTTCAGTTGTATGTTAGATATATTTTGTGCATGCATTTAAGTACTAGGTGGAATTTTAAACTGTTTCCTGTTGCAGTTTGTGGTCAAAAACATTTGAAAGCCACTACTCTGGAGAACTTTCAATCTACCATGGGTGATGGGGGAAGAGATTGACCTTTGTTTCTCCCCTTTCCTGCTACTTAGATCCTAGTCTGGAGTAGAGATAGCAAAGAGAGCGAACATTCTCACTCCTGTCTGGGCACATATTTCAACCCCAGATCACATGTTTATAGACCGGAGTGTGGTGCCTAAGACCCTGGCTTGCATCGTGAATTATTTTGCTTTAGGACATAGATCTGCAAATGAGTTTCACAAGGAGCATCACTGAGATTGTCATTGCTGTCCAAGATGCTGAGGATCTCAAATTCCAGTTTTCCTACAAGGAGACGCTAATGGGTTACATGCTGGTGAGTGTGCAGAGAAGGAATGAGGAAGACCCTAAGTATCCCATTACCAAGAGCGCAGGGCTGTCTTTTTTAAAATGTATGAAACTCACCAATCCCACATAACAGATCTCTGCCTTATTTCTGACCCAGGGTACCCAATGGTCCAGTGAGGTTGCAGCTGCATCCTTGAACTTTTCTGAAACATTTCACCTCCTTGTTTGTGTTGCAGGACTTCATTAGGGATGAACCCCTGGATTCCTTAGCTAGCCCTGTTCGGTGGAAAGCCTTAATCGCCATTAGATACCTCAGGTAGAAAATCCTTTGTTCTTCCTATTGAAAAAGTATTTCTTCCCCCTCGTCCTCCTGATCAACTGACTTACTTATCAATGCGGACACCAGTGCACCCTCCCAAAAATAAACACTTTCAAACTGGGGCTTTTTCTCCTTCGAAAGAGTTACAGAGCTGGCTGAGAGATTGAGCATTTGATGACTGACAGAGACTAAAGAGCTGTTCAGAGGAATCAGATTTATTGATATATGAGGACTGACGGAAATTTCTGTGCAAAAGGAAATTTTTCTCCCTAGATCTTAGCCTATAGGCAAATTTTAATCTTCCAATTAAAAACTTACGAAAGTCCTAATTACATTCTATATGGTTAGCAGCAATAAACCTGAAGATGAAAATTTTAGGCGTGCTTTTAAAATAATATTTTCCCTCAAAGTAAAAGAATACAAGTTTATTGTTAAAATTTGGAAACTACAGAAAATGTTTTAAAATAATAAAATCACCTATAATCTTCCCGTGGTACACATTTTGGCATATTTCCTTCAAGTCTTTATTTCTAGTCTTCCATTTTTATTACAGGGTTGAGATTCTATGCTGCATGTGATTTCTCATTCTGCTTTTTCTCACTTCACATTACATGTTTGCACATTATTAGCATTTCTTCATAAACAGCATTCTTTTTTCATTTCTTGATTTTTTTATGTTCGATTATGGCAAAATACATAACACACAAAATTTGTCATCTTTAAGTATATGGTTCAATAGTGTTAAGTCCATTCACCATTCACATTGTTATACAACCAATCTCCAGAACTCTTTTCATCATGTAAAACTGAAACTGTATAGCCACTGAATAACTAACTCCCCATTCTTTCCTCCCCGCAGCCCCTGGAAACCACCATTCTATTTTCTTTTTTATTATTGTTTTTTTAATTTCAGCATATTATGGGGGTACAAATGTTTAGGCTACATATATTGCACTTGCTCCCCCTCTGCTCAGAGTCAGAGCTTCAAGCGTGTCCATCCCCCAAATGGTGGGTGCGCATCGCACTCATTATTATGTATATGCCCAGCCCCTCCTCCCCCCTTCTATCTGCCCAACATTACTTTTTATACTATATCTTCAAAATCCAGTGTGTTTTACACTTACATCTTAATTCAGACCAGCTGCAGGTCAGGTGTTGAGTAGCCACATGTGGCCAGTGACTACTCACACTTAGACAGGGCAGCTGTAGAAACTGAAAATTAATTTCTAATGACAGCAAGAAAATCGGTGGTTGTCAAGGAGGAGGAAAAGATGAACTGCAAAGAGGAATAAGGAAAAACCAAGTGATGATAGAAATGTTCTATATTGGTTGTGGTGGTGTTTTCATGGGTGTGTACATCTGTCAAAATTCTTTAAATGGATGCAGATTATTGTACATAAATAAGTTGATTTTTTAAAAAAGCAGTCAGCCAGACAATAAAAATGAGAAGACTCTCACTAAAGCTTTCCCAGCTGGTACTGAATTTTATTCCTTTCTTCGAGAATTATTTTCACCCTTCCCTGATAGTGTCATCATTTTTAATTTTTTGCTAGTTTGGTAGCTGGTAAGTGGTATCTTGTCTTAATTTACATTTATTTAAGAAATGGGGTTTTCATGTTTATTGAACATTTGCGTTTTCCCAAATCACATCCAGGTTTTTCCATATCCTCATGATGTCTATAGTAAATACCCGAAAGAAACAAAGAAGTAAAGGAAGAAAGATTCCAGTATCATTTATTCACTTGTGCATTCATAAGAACCTATTGTACATGTGGCACTACATAGAGCACGAGAGGACATAAGAAGTTGATAAAACTCACTGCCCCAGACTTAGAATCTTCTTGGGGAGATATTTCTCTCTCTCTCTCTCTCTCTCTCTCTCTCTCTCTCTCTCTCTCTCTCTCTCTCTCTTTTACACACACACACACACACACACACACACAGTGGAGAAAACAAGTAGGTAGTGCTAGTACACATCATATAACAAAGTGTTAATCACACAAAGCGAGCGACGACTCCTGCATCACTCTAGTCAGTTAGAGCTGAGGCATCTTGACTATGCTCACCAGTGCAGCCTGATTCTATGTCCCTATCTTTTCTACTCCTGTCACCACTTCCCTCAACATGGCAGAAAATGTGCCACATCTGCCACGTGTTTAGATTGGATTGGCGGCTCTTGGGAATTCACGGGGGGTGTTCTGTTGTTAATCATAATATCCATCCTCCTCATGCTTCTCGTTTCAGCAAACTGAAGCCGAAGCTCTCACTAAATGACCACCTCAATATTCTTGAAGAGAATATTCGCAGGCTGCTGCCCCTCCCACCTCTGGGAAGTCTGACAAATGATGGCCGGACGGACAAGGACAAGGAGCACATTAAAGTACGTGGCAGCGAGGCCTGAGTGGATGAAACACTGGAGTGGGACTTTACTCTCGCCTCAGGCTGGGACTCACACATGCACATTCGATTTCAGTTTCTCTATGAACGATCCATGGATGCTCTAGGAAAACTTCTGAGGACCGTGATATGGGACAACGTGAAGGCAGAGGACTGTCAAGAAATGTTCAATGTGAGTAGGACCTCCACTCAAACCGATGCCCACTCTCCCCGATCTGTCCTCCTGCGTGCCAGACTCTTCCTCACAGGGATACATCCAGCCTGACCCTCCCCGCCATGTAGAGCCAGTCCACTTAAAAAACTGTTTGTGAGGATATGAGAACGCTGTTAGAGAAAAAAGGGGAGAGAGACAAAGACAGAGAGACAGAGAGAGAATATGAGGCTAAATGTGTATGAAGAATACTAAGGGAAGTACATTTATTCCTTGATCACAGCTTCTCCGGATGTGGCTTGTTTCACAAAAGGAATGGGAAAGAGAAAGAGCCTTCCAGATCATTGCAAAAGTGCTGACAAATGATATTGAAGTAAGTAATCCCCTAAAATAAATATATTTCATTGCTTGCAAACAACAGGGATCTCCGAGGCCTCTGGAATTCAAAACACCTGTCTGGTGGATCTCGGGTCTCAGAGTGGAGTGCTTTCCTGAGAACCCCCAGACAGGTACCTCCTCGTTCCAGATTGCAGCAAGCACACTGCAGTTGAGCCATTTGGTTGTCTTTGCATGCTTGCTTGCTTACTTTTCCACTACCCTTAAGGAATCAGGCACATTTTAAGGGAAAGTTTAAGATTAAACTTCATTCTAAGGACCTGCAGAGAGAAAATAAGGGACTTGAGATCCAGTGTTGGGAATATCCTGGGAAATCATCCAGCCACCTCACCACATGGGAGTGCCTCCTTTGTCCTGCAGGCACCAGAGGACTTTAAAATAGGTTCACTCCTCGGGCTCCTGGCTCCTCACTGCTGCGACACCCTGCCCACCATCCGCCAGGCAGCTGCTAGCTCGGCTATCGGTCTGCTCTGTATAAAAGGTGAGAGAAAGGTGGGGAACCCACAAAGAAGACAAGATGTCTATTTTCTTTTATTCTGTTTTTCTCTTTGTTCATCTATATCTCTTTCCTTCCTCTCCTCTCATGATTCTCTCTCCTCTTCTCACCTTCCCTTCTCTTCCCTCCACCTCCCTCTTCTCCCCTCTTCTCCTATCTTTCTCGCTCCCTCTCTAGTTTAGCCATTTCTCAGTTTTAATATCTTAATTATATCACAGAATTTGTCTTTCTCAGATCTGAAACAAGTCATTTTTTCTTCAGTGACTCTGTTTTCCTGCTTTTTAAAATAAAGATAATAACACTGCAACATTATAAAGATCCATTAAAGTGGGTAAAACGTTTTGAGAGTCTCTGATTTAAATCACTGAGCAATTGGGCATATTAGCAATGCTTCCTCTATCACATAGTTTTCTTCAGGAGAAGATTGCACTGTTATTGTGGTGCTAAGTGACTTTCAAAGCTCTCTAAGAGACAGAACTTTGTGAAGGTTTTCTCAGCAGAGCGTGACCTCCTCCTGCTCTCCAAGTGCATTATAATAATTGTCAATATCAGAAAATATAAGGAATTTCAAAACCTCAGTCTCATGCTGAAACCAACAATCAGGGCATCCTATCAGGGTTAATTCAGCATGTGTTTCACCTACGACAGCCCTACACTGTGTGTGCACAGTTCTGTGGACACCAGGTGCAGCCAGGAACACTCAGTCTAGGTTTAATGCCATCTCATGTCTATGTTCCGCTCATCACTCTTTTAGCTACTCAAAATATATATTGAGTTCCTTTCCATGTGTCAGACACTGTTCTGGTACTGGAAACACAGAGATATTATAATTCTAAGATTCACATAAGTAAAGTGCGTTACAGCCAAAAGGTGAGCTTTGGTTGGGGAATTGGGGAGTACCCAGTCAAGAAGAAAAAATTTATTCAGGAGAGTCAGAATAGGTAGGAAAGTCCCTTCAACTATGGAAAGATAAGTCATTAAGGATATACGCTTTTACCAAGACAAGAAAGAAAAAAGAAAGAAAAGAAGAAAAGAAAAGAAAAAGAGAAAAAGAAAGAGCTGAAGAACCATTCCAATAAGAGTTGAAATGTACCAGAAAGGGACTGAATTTGAATTCTACCTGTTATTATTCTACCTATTGTTATTGTTCTACCTATTCTTCCTTTTGCCTACTTTCTTTTCCTAAAACATGAAAAATTCAGTTCCTCATATACTCTTTGTTAACAAGAAATCCCATTCTTCATTTACATTAATTCTTTTTCCTTGACTGATCAAACAAGCATGGTAGAGGGAGAGAAAGAACATGTGCTATTAAACTCCTACTAGGCACAAGTAACAAGTGTGATACTAAATAAAATACCCATTAATACTCACGGATGTTGCTCAACTAGTTTTGAGATGAGGGATATGAAATTAAGAAGTTCACCGAAAGTAGTATAGCTGTCCTCTGAGCCGAGGTGTGTGCACATGTGTTCCACTGGGCTAGCCTGCCTTCCACAGAATGCTCAAGTGTTAGTTTCCACAATTACTATACATTCAAATTTAAAGAAAACAGAAAATCATTATTGTTTAGGTCTGCATTTATAAGTTGATCTCAACAATCACTTATGCAGTTGCTGATGGAAACTTTTTATCACAGTAGTTACTTTTCAATTTCCCCAGTGAGGTAGCTCGCTGAAGAATTGAACTCTGAAAGAGATAGCAGTATAGCAGAGTAGTCAGATTGTGGGCTTTGTGTCAGGCAGACTAGGGTTCAAATTCTGACTCTCCTATTTTAACTCATTGCATGAACTTCAGCAATGGCATCACATCTCTCGGCCCCAGTTTTCTCATTTCCAAAATCGAGACAATAACCGAAGAGTCTTCCTTAGAAAATCTTTGTGAATAGTAAATGAAATCATTGTATGCAGGGTATTCAGCATGGTACCACCAAGTAGGAAATACTCAATGTGTTCACCACCTCACCAGACAGCGGCTGATTTAGTGTCATATCAAAATATAGGCAGCCTCAGCAACCCCCATCAGGTCTTTGAACTCTTACTCATTTCTCTCTCTGTTGAATTTAGGTATTCACCTAGAAGTGGAAAGACTCCAGGGTTTGCAGGAAGGGCTGGAGAGTGATGATGTGCAGGTCCAGATCAAGGTTTCTTCTAAAATAGCTAAGGTAATAAATATAGAAGTCTTGCCAAGGAATGTAAAGATGATTCTGGATTGATTTCCTAATGCGTAAGCTATGTACTCCCCACTATTAAGGAAGGCAATGGTCTAGACATTCAAGCATAATGAAAGACCTTTTGTCCTGTCATTTTTTTTTTTTTACTTCAAAATATTAAGGGGGTACAAGTGATTTTGTTGCATGGATACCTTGTATAATGCTTAAGTCAGGGCTTTTGGTGTGCCTATCACCAGAATGGTGTTCATTTTGCCCAACAGGTAAGTTTTTATCCCATACTCCCTCTCACATCCTCCCTCCTTCTTGGTTTTTCATGCCATTTATATCACTTTATGCCTGTGTATACCCATATATTGGCTCCCGCTTGGTAGTGACAACATATGGTCTTAGTTTTCCATTCCTGAGATACTACACTTGGGATAATGGTCTCCAGTTCCATCCATGTTGCTGCAAATGACACTATTTCATTCCTTTTTATGGTTAAGTAGTACTCCATGGTGTATATACCACATTTTCTTTATCTATTCGTGAATTAATGGGCACTTAGGTTGATTCCACATCGTTGCAATTGTGAATTGTGAAGCAATAAACATTCGAGTGCAGGTGTCTTTTTGATAAAATGACTTCTTTTCCTTTGGGTAGATAACCAGTAGTAGGATTCCTGGGTTGAATGGTAAGTCTATATTCATTTCTTTGAGGAATCTCCATACTGTTATCCATAGAGGTTGTACTAATTTGCAGTCCCACCAACAGTGTACAGGTATTCCCTTCTCTCTGCATCCGCACCGACACCTATTGTTTTTTGACTTTTTAATAATGGCCATTGTGTTAGGGGTAAGGTGGTATCGCATTGTAGTTTTAATTTGCATTTCCCTGATGATTAGTGATGTTGACTCAGGTAGGGCGAAAACAATATATATAACCTAAACATTTGTACCCCTGTAATATGCTGAAATAAAAAAAAAGAAAAAAATCTATAGAATACAGTCAAAGCAGTCCTGCAGGGGAAGTTCATAGCCTGAAATGCCTATATCCAAAAGACAGAAAGATCACAAATTAGCAACCTAATGTCACATCTCAAGGAACTAGAAAAAAAAGAACAAACCAAACCCAAAGCCAGCAGAAGAAAAGAAATAACCAAGCTCAGAGCAGAACCAAACAATATGGAAACCAAAAAGATAATATAAAAAATCAATGAAACAAAAAGTTGTTTCTTTGAAAAGATAAACAAAATTGATAGACCACTAGCCAGATTAACCAGAAATAGAAAACACTCAAATAAACTCAATCAGAAATGAAAAATGAGACATTACAATTGATACCCCAGAAATAGAAAATATCATCTGTGAATTCTATGAAAACTCCTACACACATGAACTAGAAAACCTGGAGAGAATGGATATATTCTTGGAAACATATAATCTCCCAAGACCCAATCAGGAAGAAATAGAAATTCTGAACATAACAATAAGGAATAGCAAGATTAAAGCAGTAGTAAAAAAAAAAAAATCTCCCAGCACAAAGTAGCCCCTGACCAGATGGATTCACAGTCGAATTCTACCAGATACAAAGAAGAACTGACACCTATCCTATAGAAACTGTTTCATAACATCAAGAAGGAGGGAATCCTCCGTAACTCATTCTATCAATCCAGTATTACTGTGATATCAAAGCCAGAAAAGGACACACACACACACACACACAAAGAAAACTACATACCAATGTTCTTTAAGAACATAGATGCAAAAACTGTCAACAGAATATTAGCAAACTGAATTCAACAGCACATCAAAAATAATTAGCAAGAAAAAAACAAACAATCCCATTAAAAATTGGTACTAATTGATCAACATTTATGTGCACATGTGGAAGTAACATTCATAGGGCATCAGGCAGGTGGGAAGGGGGGGAGGGGATAGGTAAATTCACACCTAATCGGTACAGTGGGCAATGTCTGGGGGTTGGGCATGCTTGTAGCTCTGACTTGGGTGGTGCAAAGACAATATATGTAACCAAAGCATATGTACCCCATAATATTCTGAAATTTTTTTTAAAAAAAGAAATAAATATATCCAAAAAAAGTGGGCAAAAGACATGAACAGAAGCTTTTCAAAAGAAGGTAGACAAATGGCCAATAAACATGTAAGAAAATGCACAATGTCACTAATCATTAGGGAAATGCAAATTAAAACCACAATGAGATATCACCTTACCCCAGTTAGAATGGTTTTTATCAAAAAGTCCAAAGATAATAGATGCTGGCATGTGTGCAGAGAGAAAGGAATGCTCATACACTGTTGGTGGGACTGCAAATTAGTACAACTGCTGTGGAAAACAGCATGAAGATTCCTCAAAAAACAAAAAGTAGACCTACCATTTGATCTAGCAATCCCACTACTGGGTATTTATCAAAAGGAAAAGAAGTCATTTTATCAAAAAGATACCTGCACTCAAATGTTTATTGTAGCACAATTCACAATTGCAAAGATATGGAATCAACCCAAGTACCCATCAATACATGAGTGGATTAATGAAATGTGGAATATGTATACTATAGAATACTATGCAGCCATGAAGAAGGATGAATTAAGGCCTTTTGCAACAATTTGGATGGAAATGGAGACCATTATCTTAAGTGAAGTATCTAAAGAATGGAAAAATAAACACCACATGTACTTGCTATTAAATTTCAATTAACTGATGCACACACATGTACACAGAGGGAAATAAAACTCAGTGGGAATCAAGCAGGGGGGAGGCGGGAGGAGGGGATGGGTAAAAACCTACCTAACGGGTACAATGAACACTATCTGGGTGATGGGCATGCTTATAACCCTGACTCAGGCATAACAAAATTGATACATGTAACCAAAAACATTTGTACCCACATAATATTTTGAAAAAAAAAAAGCCAGTAGAGGGTTTTCAGTAGAAGAGTCAGGGCTCCTATGTACAATTTTGCCAGTTGTGAAATGCAAAAGGGCACCATCATGTAAAGTAGCATCATTCATAATGTAGACATTACAGATTTACATTTGTGTCATGGAAATTTTCTAGATTCCAATAAAGGATCCAATAAAATCAATACATTACAACACTATATTTACAGACAGAAGTGTAACATCTTGAGGACAGGGCACATTTTCCTAATGTGCAAAGGTCCCTTATGAGATAGCAATTGTTCTGAGAGGAGAAATATGATTAGATTTATATTTCTGAAGGATGACTCTGGCTACCGTGTGGAGAATAGAATATAGCCTGCAAAGAGCAAAATCAGAGAAGTCAGTTTGGAGTAAACTGCAAGAATCCAAGGTGGACCAAGGTGGCAATAGCAGAGACATGAGAAAATGATAAGGATATGGCAGAGAAACCACTCAGGGGACAGGGAAGGAGCATATGTCAAATGCCTGAGAAGCATCTGGCACATGCTCAAAAATATGCTCAAAACACGAGTTCCCTTCTTTCCTTTCTTCCTAAATCAAAATCCCATCCCAACGTGAGAACAAAACAGATAGCCACTGAGCTTGGACACCAGGCAAGCATTTGGTGCTACACATAATAGGAGCAGTAATCCGGTCCTTCGATTGTGGAGCCATAACTCAGAAAATCACTGGGATGTGCAGCTATTCATGGAAGGAGCTCATTACTTCTCAACAAAGCATCAGCAGCCCATTTAATGGAGGGGAAGTCAGTTGTGAATAGGAATGTTCTCATGCTACAAATTCATAATCGTTACCATCTTGTTTAGTTAAAGCCCCAGGTAATGCTCCTGGAGCTCATTCAAACTGCCAGCTTTTTACCTGCCTGCTCCCTTTTCATTAACGCACATACACAGGCATACACACGCAAATCCACACAGTGCTGTCAGCCAAACGTTCTTTATGGTTCTTGTACCTGAAGACCAAAATTGCAAAGCTGTTTTTTATTTTCTTGACCTTTAACTGACTTCTCAATATTGAAACATGGAAGAGTGAGAAGCAGGGCTTCTGGTAATCCATACTCCATATGGAGACTGTCAGCCACCTGAGTATTCAGTATAGCACTTAGTACATGCCGGTAGATTTTCCTGAATTCTCAAGGCTTAGCTATTCTTTGGAAGATTCAAGACATATTTCTATGATACATAAAATGTATGTGAAAGTACATTACAGTGTATAAGTTGCTGTATGAACATTATGCATTATTTTTCCCTTATGCAATATGCTGCAACTTTAGGTTTGGAGAGGAAGTTGCAAACTTGGGATTCAAAAAAATATGAAATAATAAAAAGACAACTCCAGGGAAAGTTTGCTTAGAGATAAAAAGGTCATATCTGAGTCCTCTTTTAGCATTTTCTCTAGTTTCTATGGCCTCAATCATGTGCTGTTGGAAAGCCCAATGGTTTTAATATCCTAAAACAAACAATAGCAGCATGTTCTAAGTATGCAGACAGAAAGTGAGGTGGTTGATAGCATGAATATTTCTGGGTGCATTTTCAGATCGTCAGTAAATTCATCCCGAACGAAGAAATTCAGATGTTCCTGGAGGAAACACTGGATGGTCTGGAGAGCCTCAACCCCACGTGCACCATGGCCTGTGGCATATGGATGATCGCCGCCCTGAAGGAGCAGGGAGTGGCTCTGGAAGATCAGGTGAACTGACGGCTGGTTTTGTAACTGAGCGGAATTCTAACACTTCTCAAGTGCCAAGTGGGTCACCACTCCTCAGTTTGTCCTCTGATGGGCAACAGACAGGAACATGCGCAGCCTCAAGAGGCCTCAGCAGAGACCCTGTGTGCTGACAACAAGGCTCATGTTGAGTGCCCATCTCAATTGCCTCTCTAGTCTTTGATCATAAAAACTTTCCACCTCGTACCACTCTGGCTGGAGGAAGCAGCTCTGAACCAAGGCCATTTGGTTGATGGAAAACTGGTTGTTGGATGTGTGAGATAAGAATGCCCATGGGGACGCCTTTGAGATGGCCACTAAGGGCAAGAGTTTCTAATCTCACTGCTACTCTTAAGGCTTTCCTTCCACACGCCTCAGAGTTTATTGTCTGGTAAGCAAGGCTCCCATTGCATTGCGGGAGGATCTCAGCCCTTCCTCACAACTGGAGAGTTAAGCAGAATCAATGGGATTTCAGTTCAGGAAGTTTGGCTAAGAGCTCCAAATGGAGATGCCTCTATCCTCTCTCCTGAAATTAGAAACAGATACAAGCTATTCAAATATGAATAAGAAGGAAAAAATCTTTAATTAGGTGAAGGCATCTCAAAGGGAATAAGAGAAGTCTGGTCCTCACAGCCCACTCAACCACCCTCAATTTAAAAATTTTCCAAAGCATGGTTTTTGTGTAAGGGGGTTAGAAATGGTCCCTGTGCTACTTACTTTTCAATAAGTCTTTCAAAAAAAAATTTATTGAACACATACTATGTGGTAGGTACTGGGCTAGACATGGGAGAATGAAGGTTGAGAGCTTGTTTGGAGGTTCTAGCAGGGGAGCACAGCTACTCATATACACTTGACTGAAGAACGGTCCTCCTCTACTGGGGAAGGTTGGCCTCTGACCAAGAGTGCAGCTTCGGGAGGGACACACATGGAGTGGTGAGGGAGGAAGGGGACACCCGCCTAACCAGCCAGATCAGCCAAATCAGCCCTGGCAATCAATGGGGTGACAGATGTGGCAGCAGATCACCCTCACATCCAAGAATCAAAGTAGACAAATGTGGAATGTTCGTGTATTTGTGTGTTCAAGGAGGAGCTGCTCACACATGTGGGTAAAGGCTTATAGTAGGGACTTAAATCCTCTCCAAGCATCATTCGACTGGGACTTTGTAGTACTCGTATTTGGGGGATATTTATGATTAAGGAGTTATAATTCAGAGGAAATGTTACGTTTAAAATAAATGTTCAATTTAAATGTCTATCTAAAATAAGAGAGAGAAATGTCTACTAGAAGCAAAGTTACTTTGGCATCAATATATTCCCTTGTCCATGTCAAAAACCCAAATGTATAATTTGGATTGTATTTTATTCCTCACTGTCCAGAGATTAATATCCCAATTCAGAACGGTGGCCTTCAGTGCCCTCTGGGATCTCGCTTCATCTTTTCTATCAGGTTGTCTTCCTCTCACTACTCTTACTCTCTCTGTGCTCCAAACTGGACCATTCTCCCCTTCCACAAATCTTCTTGGCATTTTCTTATGCCCATGTCCTCATGATTTTTTTTTTAAATAGACTTCATTTTTAGAGCAATTTTAAGTTCACAGCAAAACTGAGCAGAGAGTTCCCATCTACCCCCTGTCCATGCATATCTTCCCCCACTATCAACATCCCATAGCAAAATGGCATATTTGTTACCATGGGTGAACCTACACTGACACGTCCTTATCACCCAAAGTCCATAGTTTATGCGGACTTTAGGGTTTAGAGTTCACTTTTGATGTTGTACAATTCTAAGGATTTGACAAATACATAATGACATGTATCCTCCATTATAATAGCACATGGAATAGTTTCATTACCCTAAAAATCCTCTGTGCTCTGCCTCTCCTGTCTTTTGATTTTACATCGTTGGATGCCCTTGCCTACCATCTCCACCCTGACTTTTGAAATTGCTACATATCCTTCAAGATTCAGACCAAAGGCCCCTCCAAAATGACTCAGTTCCTTCTGGATTCCCCTATCAGGTCTTTGCACCTCTTACATCCTTTGTCATAGACTGCCTTGAGCACAGTTCTTTGAGTATGTGACTAATATCCTGTATTCAATCACTTACTCTCTTTGGTACATCTTTTTCATCTTCGGTAAATTCTCCACAGCGCCTAGCACAGCACCTGGCGTAATGCACCCTTTCACTAAAGGTTTGCTAAATTGATTTGGGAATAAATACCCAATACACCAATAATCTTTCTGAGTGAGAAATAGGCCATGTGTAGAACCAATTATTGTTTTTAACAGTATTTATAATTCATTAACCACCCACCCAGAGCTTGCAGATGTACTCACGCTGAGCCGTTCATGTAGAGACAAAATGGCAACTTTATGTTTGACTTGACTTTTTCTTTTTAGCTATTGGAGATCTTGAGCACAATTTACCGTCACATGCCAGTCCTCAGACAAAAGGAAGAAAGTTTCCAGTTTATTTTAGAAGCCATCTCCCAGATAGCCAGCTTTCACATGGAGGCAGTTGTTGTCAACCTTTTACAGAAGCCTCTGCCCTTTGACAGGTAGATTCTAATTGAACTGATCCCTTCTCCCAGGAAAGGCCGCTCTGAAAAGCATTGGGGAAGGATGTACTGTTTGAGAAAAAGATAGCAAACAAAGGTTGAAAACATCTCACTTGAATACCAATTTAAAAATTGGTACAAAAATTTAAAAATTGGTATTTGAATCACAAGTAATGTTTTTCCAAGAGTTTTTCATAAACATATATATTTATAGATTCAATATATAGTGATATAAATATATTTGTATATGTGATATGTATATTGAAAGAGGAAATACATGTCCTCATTAAATGATAATGAGTTTTTTTTGAAGAAAAGTACACCACAGGAATATGTGAATATTAGAAAGTGAATATTTCTCCTCTTTCTGGTGGCCCAGAGCACACCTACCTGAGAGGTTTCCGACTTGATGGACATTAACAAACCTCAGTAACCCAAGGCCAGAATGCTCCGCAGGCATGGCAGCATGTCTATCTGCCCTTGAAATTGTGATTAATCATAATGTGATTTTGGAGTGAGTCAGATGGAAAAGCTCACAGCCCAAAGAGTTATACCTTATCTGTCAATTTCCTGCCTTGCCACCCTAGGGACACAAAGACACTGTGGAAGGCCCTGGCTGAAAACCCAGCCTCCAGGGGAAAAGTCATGCGAGCCTTAGTAAACAAACTGGAGACCGGGTTGGAGGATGACATCGCTGGGATTGAAGCAATTTCAGTGAGTTGGCCGACCCTTCACTAGCCTGGAGCTGTGCCTCCTCCATGATCTATCCCCATCTAGAACTCAGTACTGTAGCATTAAGCACACTTCTCTCATACCCTAACTTTAGTCTAGTTTATATTGGACAAATATGTGGTAATTTTGTCTGTGGCTAATTATTTTTTGAAGCAAATTTCTTGTCAACCACAAAGAAAACCTTTGTATCTGTATTTCCAGATTAGTCTTCAAGATAACCAAAGCACCCTTTTGTGGTTGAAAAACCCTAATGCTAAAAAAAATTTTATTTTACACTACCCGTGCCCCCTGGCAGTCATAGTGCCAACATGTCAGTCCTGAGAGAAAAACACAGTCTGAGTTGAGAAGTTTCCAGACACATAAACCCTCCCTTTTTAATATGTTTTTGCCATGAACACGGCCAGCTTGGAAAGCAATCACTGAGGGAGAGAACAAACTTGCAGATCAGCCCAGGGAGAAGATGGCCTTAGAAGAAAGGAGACTGCCTGATCCACAGAGCCTTTCTCCCCTCAGGTGGCCTGTGCTATACAAGAAGTGGTCTCATGGGGCACCCCTGTCACTCACTTGTACCCAGAGCTGTTCACGCTCCTCCTGAAGCTGGTCAGCTGCACACTGGGCCAGAAGATGCCCACTTCTCCCTTGAACCACAGGCGGCGCGTGATGCAGCAGGGAGAACGGCAGCAGATCCCGGACCCCTGCAGGTAAATGCCAAGCAAGCAGAGACTTTCGAAGCTGTCCTGATCCCAGACTCCAGAAGAGGGATTTTGGAAGTCACAGTCTGTACCTTCCAGCACGGCACCAAATGCCCGTGAAGAAACGAGGCTCTAATATCCTTAAGCCATGACACTGTAGTTCTTTTTCCTGAGCCAGTACCCAGTGCAGCTGCACAGAATGATCATGTAAGAAACAAGGGGCTGTGCTTTCTTCCCTTTGGTTTCTTTCATTGACACCTTTCTAGGAAAGCTAGAATTCTGTGACCTTCAAGGCAACCAGGGAAAGAAGAAAAATAAAAATAAATACCATATTTTATAAAATCTAGGACTTCACCAATTGCAAGAAGCAATGTTATTTTATGTACCATTGAGAAAGAAGGAAAGGACTCCCAGTTAAGCCATGAATCAATGCTTTCTTATACTTCTAAATTTTTATTTTGTACTTATCAAACAAAAGAGCTCTTTTAGGATGATGAGGTATAGATTTTCATCCTATATCACATCATTCTGTTTTTCTGCCTTTTTGTATAACTTTTCATTCCAGTGTGAAATTACATGCAATCTTTTCAAAGACATTTTAAACAGCATTTAGACTCAACATATATAGTTCCAATAATACATGCAACATTACTAAAATGACAACAGTATAAAGAGCTGTACCTAAATCCATGTATGCATGTGTGAATACACAGACAATAGCAACTACATTACAACACCTGTGGGACCAACAACAATTTTAACACACATGCCCTGCAAGATGCATCCTGATTTCAGAGATACTGTTTTAGAATCAGTGAGATAGAATATTTTTCACTTTCCATTCTTAGGGCTTTTTTTCCCCTCATGGAGAGTTGACAAGATTTTGTGGCATTGCTTACTGGCCCAAGTCATCTGCATGTCCCCTTGGACCCCAAGGCTAAAATATGAGAGTAGGACTGCGTCTTTTATCCTTGCAAACATCCATTAATCCAGGAATGGGGGAGCATTGTAGGGAGCAGGAAATGTGAACTCGGAAATTCACAATTCTCTGTATGGGGCTGACTTCCTTTTGTGATGCCAGCTGTCTTCTTTAGGCTCTCAACTGCGACTCTAAAATGTTTGCAAGCCCAAGCCATGAGAGAAGGCCTTGCAAAAGAATCTGATGAGGGGGACAACTTATGGACCCTACTCAGCAACCCTGGGACCCATCACATTGGAGTATGTGCATTGGCCAGGTAATGTGCAGAACCAGATACGAAGGAAAAAAACAAAAACAAAGAATAGACATGCAACACAGGCAACTTTGCTGAGAGTAATCGACTCACCTAGGACTTATGGTCGTTGGGGAGCAAACAGGGAAGAAAGAGCAAAGGGGGTGGGAAGAGATGGTTAGATCAGTCCCACCCTCACTGCTCCCCTCAGAAAAAAAAAAAAAAAGAGTGACTCAAGTGAACAGCTTTAGAAAAACTACATTTAAATTGGACACTTGGGTAGGCTATATTAAAGTTCAAAATTATTTACCTGATGAACAAATACGCTGAGATTTCCTCCATTGTTTAGGGGGAAAAGAACTCTCTGCTAAAATTTGCGTTTTCTAGGAGCATGGCAGTGTGGCAACATGGAGTCATACTGGACATCATGGAACAACTACTCTCATCTCTCACCTCCTCCTCAGAATACTACCGGATAACAGGCACAGCTTTCTTCTCTGAGGCAAGGGAAAGCAGCCATCAGAGTGTGCTTAATGGGTCCCCTTGGGGTATTTCTCTCAGGATCTGGAGCTCAGAGAGAGATGGAACCACGGAAGAGGAACCTTCAAGGGGAGCTTTAGCTGGAGGAACCAGCTTCTGCCAGAGATATGGTCCTAAGCAGGGAGTGAAAGAGAAAGGAGAAAGCACCCTTAGAAAACCACCTCCTGCCCTCCGGTGTGCAGAAATCAACCTCCCAGGGCAGAGAAGGGAGGAGAACAAACCTGGGAGGGATAAAAGGAAAAGTAACCAATAAGCATATTAGTGCTGATCCTTGGAACTCTAGGATAAAGACCATCCTAGCCATTCCAGAGAAGGAACATCATCAGGAATTCATATTTTCCCTGCCCTAATTTTCCACTTAGACTTGAAACATCTCTTAGCTAGGTTATATGGGTTCTCATCACCACGTAGCCTTGACCTGTGGGCCACTCACCTCTAGAGTTTAGCTTCTGCAAGACTTGCTGGTTCCCCTGAGGGCTTTCTCCTCTGCTCCACAAGCATCAAGGCTCTCTCTTTAATCGTAGTTGTGACGCCCTGTGGCACTCTCCTGAAGGGAGGCTGCTGCCTTAACTAAAAGGGAGGAGTGTGTTGATTTCAGCTCATGAGGGAGCCAATCCTTTGGAAGCACGGGAATCTGCGAGATGTGCTGAGCTTGATGGATCAGAGCGCCTGGGACTCCAACGCCATTCTGAGGCAAATGGCCATCCGAGGACTCGGCAACACGGCATCCGGGGCCCCTCACAAGGTAAAAGCCTTCCTAGGGGGAAAGAGTTCACTTAAATAGAGTTTTGAAATAATTATTTACTAACCCACACCTAGTAAGCGCATAGAAATTAAGTGAAAATCCAAATAAATTGCTGAAGTGGTGGCTCTTGGGTCAAAGTACATGTGACCCTAAGAGAATTTCAATCCCCTTGTCTGGGGGACTCCTACCTATTCCAGGTACACATAGAACAATTTTAGAGATTGAGACCTTGTTTCAATATAGGCGAAGAAACATAAGCAGATAATGTTAGAATCCATCATCAGAGGCCTGTATCACCTGGCTCGCACTGAAGTCGTCTGTGAAAGCTTGAAGGCTCTAAAAAAGATCCTGGAACTGCTCACAGACCGAGATGTGAGCTTCTACTTCAAAGAAATAGTGCTGCAAACAAGAACCTTCTTTGAAGACGTAAGTGAGCCTTTTCAGGAATCTTCCTTTCCCAGAAGAAGTGAGTGAACAGAAAAAGGTTCAGGTCGTGCTCGTAGAAGACAACGTTAGTCCATATTCCTTGGCCGGCCCCTGAGGTCACCTGCAGACAATCCCCACATCGGTTACTGGCTTTCTCCGTCTTTCTGCCTGAGGGTGCTTTCTGGCTTGGGAATCATGACCAGTCTAAGCAGGTTGGGCCAGAATTACTGGGGAAAGAAATGTCCTGGAAAGGACCCTCAAACAATAAGAAGAGTTTGTAAATTCCCCAGCTTCCTCCCCACTCAGAAGGATTGAACACCACTTGCCCATGAGAGTAACGCTCATTAACACTGCCTTTTTTAGCTCTCCTCGCTTCCCTGTCTCATTCCCACTCTTCTGCATGCTTTCTGGGCTCACCTCCTGAATAAATTACTTGCACCTAAATCTTCACCTCATTGTTTGCTTTTAGGGGGAACACAAATCATGACAGTACTCAATGGAGGACTAGGGCCTGAATAAAGACAATGTTGCCTCCAACACTGTCTTTCCCCTTCAAAGACTCTTTTCATCCAGGAGTCAGTAGACTATAGCCAATTGACCAAATCCAATGCACAGCCTGTTTTGGCAAATAAAGTTTTATAGGAACACAGCCATACTGGTTGATTACATATTGTCTATGACTTCTTTCACACACCACTAGCAGACTTTATAAGCTGTTACCAACACCATATGACCCACAAAGTTTAAATTATTTAATGTCTGGTCTTTTATAGAAAAGGTTTGCCAACCACCAATGTACTCCATAGCCCTGATTTCAAAAAAGCTCAGTCAGCAATCCTAGGCAGAGGAGGGTCATTTTCCTCTATACCTTCTAGGCAACTACATTTGGGTATTTATTTTTGGTTTATTCACTGCCATCTATGTAAAGATCTATTTTACATCTAACTTAAATCTATTATTTTGTGACCTAAACCTGTTTCCTCATGTTCTGTTATCAGAGGAGATGGAAAACTGCTAGTTGCCACCTCTAGTGCATCTTTCATAAACATTAAGGCTTTATTAAATTACCTATTTACCGTCTAGTCTCCAGACTGAAAAAAATCACCATTTCCTTCATTATTCATCATAAACCTAATTTTTCTGCTCATTAAATATTTTGCAAGCCAGTGACTGAGTTAGTTCTCTAAATTAGACCGGAGTAGTATTAAATAGAATCTAAAGAAAAATTACCTCTCAAGTCCAACCTTTTCCTATTTATTTGCTCCAGTTTTTTTTAATCTTCCCCTTTCTTTCTGACTCTGCAATTCATTAACCATACAGACCCCTAGAATTTAGTCTGCAATATATGCTCACGGTCAATAATTCTTTAGTGTTGTGTTTCTACAGTTTCCTTGTCTATGTGCTAAGCTAAACCTGGCCTTTGAAAACAGCTTTCTGCTTGTTTCCAATTATTTTCTCCAATTTACCAATATCACTTTTAATTCTCATCTTATTCTGAAAAATGCTTACTGGGCTCCAGCCCAATTTAGTAAATCTTCTGTAAAAATAACAAAGATGTTCTCTCTTTCATTACACAGATAATTGATGACAATCTTTAACAACAAAGAGCTGAAGTCATCCCTACAGAACCCCACCTGTTAGGTTTCCTGGGTTATTGTCGATCCAACAATAATAATAATTCTCTTAAATCTGAGCCTCTGGTAAATCACAAGTCTACCTAACAGATTTGTGATCAAGATAATGTTTCTTAGTATTATTGCAGAAGAAAAATCAATCTAAAGTCTTGCTGGTTGTTAGACCTTTCTCATTCCTAATATATATCAATTCCATCATGTTTGCATAAAAGTAAAGTTGGAAAAAACTTGGGTCTCTGTAATGACGCACTATTTATTTTCCAGTAATACTATCTTTCTGCAGATATACTTAACTCTATGACACTGCCCCATATTTTTCTGTAGATTAAGCATGCAATTCTATAATGGCCAAGTTTTCTCTTTTTTTTTTTTTTTTAATATCTAAGTACTCTCTTGGAATTCTCAAAACATGGCAACACTTTAGTGAAGCGGTAAAACAGAAAATGCGGCTGCTGGCCTGAGCTCCAGTCCCTTCTTGCTACTGTTGCCACACTGTCACTCTGAGCTTCACTCTCTGTGATTCCATTTTCTCAACGGAAAGCGGGGACATTGGACTAGATTTTCTCTAATATCTCTTCCAGCACCCAAAAAACTTTTTCCACTTCTTTTTTCTGCTTTTTTATCATCCCAGTTGGTTGATTCTTCTGGGACCTATCATTAGATCCCGATTTTGGAAAATTTGTAAGTTCTTTTTTGAGTAAATTCCTCTCCATCTTTTTGATATTTTGGTTTTAGTTTGCTTTCTTTTTCTAAAAAAAGATCTTTTAAAAAATATATCCTGACCTTCTTCCTAAAATATTTTAGGAAGTGTTTCTACTTTCGTTTTCATTATACAAGGTTACATCTCATGTATTCATTTAACTTTTCTGACCTTTTCCCAGAAATCCATCTTTATTTTTCTGGAAAATCTATATTAACTTTATTTTTTATGTTTATTATTTAACTAAATAATATTCTTCTACTCAGGACTACTTTTGCTTTTATCCCACTTCATTCATATGGGTATTTTAAACTAGTTTTCTTGGACTGAAAAAAAACTTTCCATATAATTCATCTCACTTCATTTCCTTCCTTTGTTGGAACTCCAAACCATATCATCAACATATATAAGATAATAGGAGACCATCTTTCTCCATCTTACTCTTTGTTTCTTCAAATCATTGCCTACCATCTTGCACAAAAAGCAAGGAAATTCCTGAGCTTCACATACTGAAGAGTAGGGCCAGGCACTTGTTTATTTAAACTCTTTCTGAGACCCAAGGCCCACATTCCTGAGCTGCCTGTAATCCCTTTAGAAAGTGTTTGTCTCTTAGAGAAGAGTCCTAGGCCTTGAGCAATTTAGATAAGAAGCCCCATAATTCTAGGCTAGTGAGGCAACCAAGCTAATTTAAGAAAAATACACAACCAGCAGGAGCCCTTCCTGGCCTTCTGCTGCAAGCAATACTGTCTATCATTCCTGTGGTCACACTTCCCTCACTAGCTACTCAAAGACAGATATCAAGTCTCTGGCTCTACAGCATCACTTAAACCCCAGACTCATTTTTTTTTAAACTAATGTAGTACGTGGAGAGAGCATCTGGGAAAGGAAGCAAGTTCTTGGAACTGTGACAATAATGCACCAGTGCCTGGGTCCCAGCCTTCCTTTGCTGAAGTAGAGTGAGACAGGCTGCGGCCAAGGGTATGCTGGCAGGGAACGGCCTGTGAGAGGATTTTCACCCACCATATGTAACTGTCACCACAGGAGCAAGATGATGTGAGACTGACTGCTATCTTCTTATTTGAGGATATGGCATCCCTAACAGGAAGAAGGTGGAAGATTTTTTTCGCTGAAGAAATTAAAAAGAGCTTGATTTCATTCCTTCTTCACCTCTGGGATCCCAATCCCAAGATTGGAGCTGTAAGTTGCCCTCCACAAACACCTGCACCTCCTCCTCTCCCTGTGGCTGAGAAGTGCCAGTAAGCCTGGTCTAGCTGCCCTAGAAGCCAGATCCAAAGTCACCCCTGAGGGCTGGGCATGGTGGCTCACGCCTGTGATCCTAGCACTTGGGGAGGTGGAGGTGGGAGGATCGCTTGAGGTCAGGAGTTCGAGACCAGCCTCAGTAAGAGTGAGACTCGGTCTCTACTAAAAATAAAAGGAAATTAGCTGGGCAACTAAAATAGAAAAAAAAATTAGCTGGGCATGGTGGCACATCCCTGTAGTCCCAGCTACTTGGGAAGCTGAGCAGGAGGATTGTTTGAGCCCAGGAGTCTGAGGTTGCTGTGAGCTAGGCTGACACCACACCATGGCATTCTAGCCTGGGCAACAGAGAGAGACTCTGTCTCAAAAAAAAAAAAAAAAAAAAAAAAAAAAAAAAAAAACAAAGTCACCTGTCAGAACTGAACCTGAAAACCTCTTCTCCAATTCTGGGTTCTTCTTGCTATCTCATCCCAAGTTTGCTCTCCCATCCTTGAAACTGGGAAGGTGCCGGCAATGACTACAGAGCCCTTCATACCACTGACTTACTGCTCCTTTACCAATATTATTCAGCATCATTTCCCTTCTGTAAAGAGATCCTAGCATTATGGACTGTGACACAGAAAACTTATTTTTTAGGCTTGCCGTGATGTCTTGACCGTCTGCATTCCTTTTCTGGGCCTTCAGGAACTCTATGGAGTATTAGACCATCTCCTTGATCATGATCTACCAAGGACCAGGGATTTCTACAGGCAATTCTGTGTGAAACTGGTGAGTGTGCAGTAGATGCTGACTCCAAAAGAGGCAGGACAAGAGACCAGACAAATCCTGGAAAGGCAAACAACATAACAAGGACTCACTGGCCAGAGCCAGAACTGCCTTAGAAAGATAGCAGTGTCCCTTGGTATCCTGCTGCATTGCCCCCTGCTCCTTTCCCAAGTCTCGTCTGGGATCTAGTCTCCTCAGTTCCTGAAACTCACGTCTGTTGATCAATTCTTTAAGCCCAAGTGCCTTCCTGATTAAATTTATATCAAAATAGTCATAAGATAATTTTCAATCAATTAATTTATGACTACATGAGTGTTCACTAGCCTTTAGAGTTCCTTTCTGAGGACCTATAGGATGCTGAGTGTCAGAAAGGGTCACTTTCCAGTTGCCCTCTTTATAATACATCTCTTCTAGGCAAAGAAAAACCAGGAAATTCTATGGATTCTCCACACACACTCCTTCACCTTCTTCACCAGCAGCTGGGAGATGATCAGGAGTGCAGCTGTCAAACTCACAGGTAAGCTCACGTTGTCAGATCCGTCTCCTTCTTTCCATCTAGTTCTGCTTTGACGTTCTCCCTCAAAGGAACATGTTTCCCTCTATAAGCGAAAACTCAGAACCTCTTCTGACTTACTCACTCTTCCCCCATCTGGGCCTCCATGCTACTTCTTTCCATTTCCTAGTCATTGTTCCTTCTTTTCCCTAAGCCTTTGCTCCAAGCCTGCTGCCTCTACATTAATATTTTCCTTCACCTCATGCCTTAGTATAAACCATACTCAGCATTCTAAGCTCAGTTCTAGCTCAGAGGTTTGACAACAACATGATAAAAGTGTGTTGAGGTGGAGGCCTGCAAACCCTGGCTCTGCTGTTTGATTCTGCACAATGTACTTATCCTCTCTCTGTTACTTGTCTGTCTTATCTATAAAACAAAAGTAAATCTCTGCAGATGCTTCTATTATGAAATTCTAAGTCTTACCTTGAATCCTCTTCCAACTGATCCGGCCCACAGTGAGCAAACCCACTTGCGTGGCCCTCCTTAAGACCAAGGTAAAGCCAAAGGATTATTTATTGGATCATGCATATGATCTCCCCAATTATATTATAAACTTTTTGAAGACAGGAACCATATCTGACAACAACCGACCACCCTCCAACAAAGACCATTGTCTTCTTTCTCAAATACACCCTAGATATGTGACCACTGGCAGACATGCCACTGGGGACCCAATAGAGGTCACTCTCCCATTATCCTATGGGATGCAGAGGGAGTCCTATAGTTTGCTCATTCACTAACCTGCCATTTACCTTCTGACCAGGTGCAGAGTCTGACCCAATCCACTTTTCATGGCCTCTTCCCCTATAATGAAATCAGTAACTGTTTCTCCTGTTGACTTTAGATGCCATTGTTCTCAATTTGACCAGCCAATATATGGAATTATTAGACAGAGAACAACTGACCACACGTGAGTACCAGCCCTAGTTTCTGCCCAGCATATTGTCACATTCTTAGGGAAAGTGATTGCTACTCTAAGTTCCATATAGGCACAGAAATTGAAAATCTTAGTACCAGTTATCATCTCTGATGCTCTCTAGACACTTTTCCAGAGTATAAAGCAACCTCCAGCTCCACCCCTTTGCAGGCATCATTCCCAACAGACTACAGTTTTCCAAATGTCTAAACCTACTGATAACAAGGTCAGGGTCTTCTCTCCCCTGATTCCAATGTTAAAATAGTTTCTCAAGTTGTAGCTCTAAATCCTACATTTTGGGGTAAACTGTGAGCAGTAGGACCTGAGCCCCACAGAGGGCTGACCCTTGGTGGGGAGCCTTGCAGAGCTGTAGTAGGTTGGGCCTTGGCTTGAGTTGCCCTTCCTGTGGGACTCTGACCCTCCTCATCCACTTAACTTTGCTTTTCTTTCCGTTTCAGGGCTCCAAGAGCTTCGACAAGACCCATGTATCAGTGTCCAGAGAGCAGCTGAAGCTGCCTTGCAGACCCTCCTGAGAAGGTGTAAAGAGATAAGCATCATTCTGTGAACCATCAGGAAATAAACTACTAGGCTTTTTTCTATTACTGACTCCTGTCTTCATCCTATTAATTCACAAACTTGTAGCAGCTTGAGGAGAGAGGATGGGGATCTTGAAGTGATGGTATGTTTCTTCCTCTCCAGAACCTCCCTGGTGGCTTCCATTAGTAAAAAATACATCCCACAAATTCACTTCAGGGATAACCTGTAATTTGAGTAGTGACAGCCATGTGGCTTTGTGCAGATTAGCCCTCCATCTGGAGAAGCTACGTTCCAGCAGATATCAAAAAGTGACAGGCTTTGCCACACGTGACTCTGCTGCCATTGAGAAGAGGGCCATTGTTGTTTTCCGCACATAGCCCTTTCCTCTCAGATCTTTGTAAGCTTTGAATTACTACCCACAGTGTTCTCTTTTTAAAATACAGTCTTATGATAAACTTTAACCTGTCTGTTCTCTCCCAGGTTGTAATTTATGTGTCAAGAGTATGCCAGGTACTCTTCTATAAAAGACACCTTCTGACATTCTATTAAATCTCAGTTTCCTTTCCATTTTTATCCCAGGGCAATGGTGTGTGTGTGTGCGTGTGTATGTGTTAACCTTCTTCATAGTATCTGAATCCTAACTCTTCACTATTTTTCACAATGCATAAGTGAAAGTTTGCATACACAAAATTACATACATTAAAAAGAAGTTTCTAACACAGAATCTGGCGCTCATTTAACCCTAATATGATCACTTATTAGGCACACTGTCAGTATGTTCCTTTAGAATGTCCCTGAAAATTCCTATTACTTACATTCTAATCTCTCCATCCTCAAACTCTTTGGGGAAACATCTTTTGTTTCTTCAAAACTTAGGGACCAAAAGAATCTGTTGGGTCAGAGATTCTGGGTCAGGAGGCCATTTATTTATTCATTTAACAAATATATATTGAATGCCTACAATTTTATAAGACATTGTTATAGCCAGCGAGACTAAAACAGTGAGGGAAAAAATAGAAAGACTGTGCCCTCATGGAACGTCTATTCCAGGAAATCCATGTATAAGTTCCAGAGGATAGAGCCAGCCCCCAAGATGGCCCTCAATGGTTCATGCCTCCTGCTATTGATACCCCTGTGCAGTCCCCTTCCACAACAAATAGGACTGACCTGTACAACCAATGCACTACTTCAGAAATAATGGAATGTGACTTCCAAGACAAGGCTGTAATGATATCACACTCTCTTAACTCATTCAGCTGGCTTCTGGTTGAAGCCAGCTGAGGCCACTCACGCAGCCCTATGAAGAGTCCATGTGACAAAGAACTGATGCTTCCTGCAAACAGCCAGCACTAAGTTGCAAGGCTTGGAAGTGAGCCGCCTTCAGAATGGGTCCATGAGCCCCTGTTAGTCTGTAGATGATTGAAACCTCACCATGAGTACAAGCTAAGATTGTGAGATAAAACACAGAATGCCCAGGTAAATTTGAATTTCAGATAAACGTTAAATAATGTTTTCAGTAAAAATATGTCCCAATTATACACTGCACTAAAAAATTATTTGTTATTTATCTGTAATTTGAATTGAGAATCTTATATCTTTATTTGCTAAATCTGGCAACACTCACACAATCTAATGAGGATCTTGAGCCGAAATCACTAAGTTAAGCTACTCCCAAATTCCTGAACCATGAAAGTATGTGAGATAATAAAACTTTGGTTTTTTAAGCCACTAAGTCTTGAGGTGATTTACTATGCACCAGTAGGTAACTATTACACAGAGGGTCCACGATCCCACCAAAATGGTATGCAAATTTCTGTGTATAATTGCACAGGTGCATTTTCTGGGTAATGGCTTTCACTAAATCCTTAATGCAGTCAGAAGCTATCCCCAAGCATAACATACATTAAACAGAGCAAAAAAAAAAGAAAAAGAAGAAGAAGAGGAAGGTAAAGGATTTGGGTTAGTTGACCTCTTTTGGCCGGTTAAGTCAAATGACTTCAAAATAACATTGTCCAGTAGAAATTTCTGCAATGATGGAAATCATCTTTTCTTCTGCACTGATTGATACTGTAGCCATTAGCCACATGTAGCAACTGAGCATTTGAAATGTAGCTAGTGTATCTGAGGAATTATATTTTTAATTTAATTTAATTTAATTAATTTGAATTTAAATAGTCATGTGTCACTAGTAGTTATGATATTGCACAGGACAGTTTCAGAATGTAGGGCAAGAAGTATTCATAGAATTGGGGTTAAGCCACCCCAAAACTATAGGATGTCCTCAACAGGAGTATAAATTCACTGACACAGGACTTTGTCAGATACTTCTTTATATATCTCACCTGCTACTCCCCACTCATCCTAGCATCCAGCAAAGGGCCTTTCTCATAAATTGACTGATGGAAATGAGGTAGAATGGCCACATGAAATATACATTGCCACTGAACCTTTAACTGTCTAAACCCTTATCTTAGAAGGACTCGTTTCACCATGGCAAGAATTTCCAGGACTCTCTTTTCACATCTTGGCTGGATGCCTTACTAGCTATATGACTTTGGAAAACCATGTAATCTTTCTGTACTTTAATGTCTATATCCATAAAATTAGGATAATAATTTTCTACCTCAAAGTGCTATTTGGGGGATTAAATGGGTAACATGTGTTAGTCTGTTCAGGCCACTATAACAAATATACAAGACTGGGTAATTTATAAAAAACAGACTTTGTTGTTCACAGTTCTGGAGGCTGGGAAGTCCAAGATGAGGATGCCAGCAGATTTGGTGTCTGGTGAGGGCCCGTTCTTCATATGAGGTTCCTTCATGCTGCATCCTCACATGATGGAAGAGGTGAATAAGCTGCCTCAACACTCTTTTATAAGGGCACTAATCCCATTCATGAGGGTGGAGCCTCTATGACCTAATCACCTCCAAAGGCACCCCCTTTAATACCAGAACCTTGGGTGCTAGGTTTCAACATATGAATTCAGGAGGGGACACAAACATTTAGACCAAAGCACACGTAAAGCATTTAGAAGCCTAGCATAGAATCATTGTTTAAGCAATGCTAACTATACAATATAAATATTAATATTAAAAAATGTATCACTAGAATCATGAATATTAACATAAAGCCAGTGGTTAGGATATAAAGCCAGCTGATTATGGCACCCCCATGTGGCCATGTTCCTGGCCCTGTGAATGTTGCTGCCCTTCCTAGGAAGCTGAGATGAAGTGGCCATCCCAATTCAGGAGATCTCAGTTCAGCATCTGATGCTCCTGTGAGCTGCCTCACAGTCGTGCTATAAACCCCATCAAAGTCTTCTTACTTGCTCTCATAGCATAGAGCATAAACCACAGTCAGGCTTGTGATAGGAAAGAAATTTAGATCTCCTTTCCCTCCCCAATAATTATTTCTATTAATTTCTCCCAACGACTACTATTCCCCCTCAGAGAGTCGCCATGAGTCCTTCTTGATGCCTCTCTTCCCAATTACTCCTCCACAGGTCCTCTGTGGTTCATCTCCAAAGTCCAAACACAGGCAGGTAAGTTATCCCAGTGAGAAAGACTCCCTGACGGTGTCAGGGAAATAGAGTTACACTGTTGAAGAAATTACAGACTCCTTTTAGCCTCACTCCTGTTGCTTGCCTCACTATTATTTGTACATGTAATCGTTTTTCAACTCATGTTTACTTTAGGATGGAAATTCTGTGTTGTTCACAAACTGCCTGACAGGCTAGCACTGCTTTCAAGAGCTCTGAATCATGTTATTTCACAACTCAGTACTCTGCCCTTTAACCCAACAGTGAGAGCCAGTGTTCTGCTGGTAAATCAGGAATGTTTAGCTTGGCTGACCCTGCTATGAAAGCAATTTTACCAGAAGAGAAGAGAACAAAGATCACAGATGGGAAGAAATAAATAGGCTTCCAGAGAAAGAAGTAGGAGAAGTTGCTTAACTCGAATTGTCTCTGTACTGTCATTGTTTCAAAGGATAAAATACAAAAAGAGACGCTTCTTCTGGAGCCCTTAAAAGACTCTGAAATTATAGCAAAGATTTTCTAATAGCACTTTATTATTACTCAATCTGGTTTCCAACCCAACCATTATCCCTCAGATTGTCTAAGTATAGAATTCAAGAATGCATGGTCAATCTGAAGTAATAGTAATGTCGGGGTTAATCAGGAGCCCCTGGCAGAAAGCAACTTTCTGGCATGTAATTTATATAGCTGCATCCCGGGAATTATCATTTCTTGAGATTTCTCTTTATTATTCATTTATTTCAGGTATCCCTTAAACCAGGACACGAGAAAATGTGACGGACTCAAGAGGAACATGAGGGAGGGACAGTGGAATTCATTGCAAATGTGTGTGTGTGTGTGTGTGTGTGTGTGTGTGTGTAAGAATGCCAAGTCATGACCTGAAAAATGGCATTAGCTTCCTACCTCTACTTTGTCCAACTTTATTTATCCAACGAAGCATCCTTACTTATTTATATTCCTTCGGGACAAAGTGTTCTGAATTTTATTTATTGAATTATGTGGCTATCCTGAAGGCAAGATAAATTTGGAGAATATAATTTTGCAAAGATATGTGACTCACAGCTTCTTTTTCAATTTAGGAGCCATTGAAAAACACAAAGATAAGAAATTCCTCCTTCTACATTACCCACCACATTTTTCCAAATATTCTCAGGGTATGAACTGAGAATTAAATTGGCCAGCATCCCAACACTTTCTTAACTGCACAGTGGTCAAAAACAGGCCCTATCTTGGAAATGTAGAGCCTTGCACACTGCCTATTAGCCTGTAGAACAAGTTAACTGGGACTTTTCAAATTTTTTCAGAAAAAGTAGGGGAGAGTTGAAATCCATGTTTATCCTGCTCCCGGTGGAATCATAAGTAAACTATTCATTATCCCACATCCAATCATCAGATGGTGTGCTCTAGTTTGGGATCCTGAGAATGTGGGACACTCGTGGGCAGGGCTCATGAGTGGCAGTGTTCCAGTCCATTACATTCTCTTTTTTTTTAATTTCAATAGATTTAGGGGATACAAGTGGTT